GATTCTACAAACCACGCGCTCGTTAGATATTTCTGTTGTTCTGTTAAATCTAGCCACGGTTCGTACAGTCATTCAAATGAGGGGTGTCATTTTCCCACAAGTCAAGCTACCTGTGATTGGATGGGATGCTTCACACCCGTCAGCGGATCGTTTATTACGCCGGAAAAACTCAGCAGTCTCCAACGCATGTTTACTGGATCCGATACCCAAGAACTACACAAGATGGGATTTCTGTTCACCGAATCCGGATCAATCGTGTATGCACCACTGGCTTCGTGGGTCAAGCGTGCATGCATATCTGGTTGGCTATCAAAATGGGATTCCCAAAACTAATGGATTCAGTCGGATCAATCTGTACGGAGTTTGGCTGTTCACATATCGCAATCCGGGTGCCAAAGTACGAAATGTATACAGGGATGATCTGCTCACTATGTCCCACTACTCTGCCAGTAATCCATTGTATGTCCCCTGGATCCTCAAACTCGCCCAAAAGTATCAAACGATCCAACAAATCAACTTGACACAAGCGGTATCCAGGGAATTAGATAAAACAACAACAGATCAGGATATATTCTTGCAACAAATTTTGCCCCAAGGAAATATTCAGTTTAAAGAGCTATACAAATCCTAATGAAAAGTTTATACTGGACCTTACGGTGAAATAAATTGATGAAATTTTCCCTGAATATAAGCGATGGATTCGCAAATCTCCCCCAGGTGTAACTTTTCCTTCCGCGAGCCTCTCATTCGTTCAGTCCTGTAAACTGAATTACCGAATGAATGCATCTCACTTGCTTCCTTCTTATTGACAGCGTTTTCCAAGTAGCTGGGAGGACAATGCTTTATCGATTATTCTCTTTTGTTTATTTCGTTAGATTGGGATTCTAAGCAGCCCAAACGATGCCAGTTGTCCGCGTGAACATCTCATCAGGTGTTTTGTTCGGTGACTACTGGCGTATAAACAGAATACAAAATCGCAGAAGAGACGATATATGCATCAAGCGACAAAACTATTGCACAATCCTGGATTTTCGGATCATCTCTGCTGTCAGATGCGCGATTATCACCATTTCTGATAGATCTATATAGATGGCTGTCAAATGACTAGCCGAAACAGAAATTTTCATCTTATTAGCTTTTTCTTTCAACGTATTATATCAGAAGAGAAGAATTTCAACGGCGACAGATGTATTGCCCTTCCCCAAGGACTTCACCCATTGAAGCCACTTTTATGCTCGATATCATATTTCAAATCATGTTCGTATTGATATTATCGCAGTCCCTAATCAACGATGCCTCTAATACGTGCTTTATGGTATAAACCTTGAGTGGTAATACATCACTCCAGCGGGAACTGCTCAAAATATTTCCATTTGATTCAAGTATGGGCTGCACGCAGACCGCACCATTGTTATGATGCCAAAATGTCACGAACAGCATTTTGTAGATACTACTTATGACCAACGATATTATCAAGCTTGAAAATCGCTTCTGTATGGTACCATTGCTGGCGTAAGAAGCAGCTCTAACGTGCGAATATGTTTCTGAATCTTTCAGCGCGCTTTATTTGTAAAGGCATCCCGTTTCGATGACTAAGCCGCGTATCGAAGTAGAGCTCTTCTTTCCACAGACCACACCACTAGTGATAGTTTACGCGTCGGACCCGGTCTAGTGTATAATGGAATTTATCCATCTTCCTCGCTATTATTTAGCCTCTACAAACTGGAGGTTGGCAATGAACTGTGTAGACATACTTGAATATCTTTGGTCCCCAAAGGT